TTTACATCAGCGCTGTAATTTGCACTAATCAACCAAACAACTACTACTGTTATAACTCTTACATTATTTTTCTCAGTTCATATAAAAACCCTGTACTTTAAACTTAATAACTGTACAGTACTCTGTTTTCATAACTATTGTCCATGATGTAAATATTTTTTCTGTAAAAATTGTGTGTGTTTCTACTCCGTATCCTGTTCTGTTTTCTTTCGTTTCTTCTGCTGCTGTTACAACCAAATTTGTAATTTGTGGGACAATTATTCTATTCTATTCTATTCTATTCTATGTTCTTAGTCTGTTCCTTGGCATTAGATAAATGTGTCTCTGCTTTACACCTATAAGTTTATTAATGAAGCTTGCTAACCAAGCTTAACACTCCATCTTTTCACTGATAAAAGGCAACTTCTGGCTTCAACCATGGTGGCAGCCAAAACACTGACATCAAAACTTTAAAAAGTTGAGTCCTTGATCTCACAGTATCTACTTCCATGTTTCTTGCTGTCTTTTTACCTATCGAACATTTTAATGTTTACAGTTGGCTAGCTGTACATTCAAGACATTTAGAGTTGATTGAAAAAAGTAATTTCAAGATGAAAGCTTTACCAGCCCTCATGACATTACACGCCCTCTTCTCACTGTTATACTTGTACTTTCGGGGCGATCGTGGCTCAAGAGTTGGGAGTTCGCCTTGTAATTGGAAGGTTGCCGGTTTGAGCCCCGGCTTGGACAGTCTCGGTCGTTGTGACCTTGGGCAAGACACGTCACCCGTTGCCTACTGGTGGTGGTCGGAGGGCCCGGTGGCGCCAGTGTCCGGCAGCCTCGCCTCTGTCAGTGCACCCCAGGGTGGCTGTGGCTACAATGTAGTTTGCCATCACCAGTGTGTGAATGTGTGTGTGAATGGGTGGATGACTGGATGTGTAAAGCGCTTTGGGGTCCTTAGGGACTAGTAAAGCGCTATATAAATACAGGCCATTTACTTTCTGTTAAGGGGAAGTTTGTCTACAACATTTTTTAAAGTCACCTTTATGACAATGTTTGGTGGGTAGTCTTGTTTCCTGGTTTATAAAACCAAGCAATAGTTTTAGTGTTACAAAGTAAACAATTCACAGGAAAAAAGGAAGGAAGAACTCATGTTTAAGTGCTGGGTTATCTTGAGTATGGTGGCGGTGGAGGGTTTGTTTTTAATGATGGTCCCCTTTCTAATTTCCTCCTAATGAAATAATTCCCATCTACCTGCAGTGATACACCACTTTTTTTTTGCCTGGAGTGGTGTCTGGAGATTAAATTAGAACCATCTTGTAAATCACCGAGCGAGAAAGAATATTATGAGAATAGTGAGTGTGTTTTGTTTTTTTTCCTCAGGCAGGCAGGTTTTCATCTGAGGTTCTTGTGTCAAGCATTTGACCTCTTTGCTGGTTTTTTAGTGTCAAGGATTTTTAGGTACTCAAGAGCCACAGTCTGCTTCCATGGAAATATGGCTTGAGGGCATGTCCATCACTGCCGAAAGGGTGACCCAGAATACCCAAACACACCCTGCCCAATCGTATTAAAATTCCTCTCCATGGCACACACATTCCACTTTATTCTAGTCTATAGACGGGAAGGGTACCTGTTGCTATGAAACACCAGCCAAACACACGGGTCAGACAAGCGTGTCCGTGTCATTCCTAACATGACAGTGGTTTGCCATAAATCCGTACCGGCACGGTAATAATACTCCTGCGCAGTGGGCGTGGCTGGTGTTTGGCTCTGTGATCGCTGGTTGGAGCCCAGTCTGGCCCACACTCACAAATGGGGAGGCAACACAGGAAACTGGGGCTTCCAGTAAAAACATGTAATTAGAAACACATTGACTGGGAGCTCTGGCATGATACACCCATCAGGAAGGGAGAGACACATGCAGGCAGGGATGCACGTAGGGTTTTTTTTGTTTTTTTGGTTAAGTGATTGAAGTGGAGGACAAGATCACTGGGTCACTGGGAAAGTCCCATGAGAAAATCCAGTGTTGTAAGACTAAAATGGAAAAGCAGAGACATGGACTGTGACATGTTGTTACAGACACAAGCTTAAGAGAGCAGAGCGATAATCAAAAGCAGGGACATCTCAACACCCAATCTGACCTGTCAGCCACTTTAGTTTGATATGTGGCAGACAATAATATTCCACTGCTGAAAATCCCTACTATTACTACTGTTTACAAGATGCAATATAAATGCCACTGTATTTAAGATTGCGTCAGTATGGCCTAGAGGCCTCGCCACTAAAGAGCAGACGGTGCACAGCACGAGCTTCGCGGAGAGCGTGGGCCTCAGCGTGGCCGGGCGGCTCAGGCCATGCCCTGCATGCCCATGCGGTGAACCAAACTCCAGAGGGAAAGCCAGTTAACCCGGCCACATGTGATCTGAGAATCCTCACTAACCATGCTCCCCTCGAAGCATGTCAGGAGCTCAGAGACATCCTGCAAGTTTATATTTATGTGCAGTGGAGCTAAAATGTAACTAAACACAAATACCTGGAATTAGTTAATAGTTTAAAAAAAACGCACACGAGCTAAAATGTGAAGTTTACTGCAGCATACTGCAACGTTTGTATGATTTCAGGAAGCCAAAGGCACATGTGGCAAGATTTACCAAGTTTGAATAACACACACAGCTCTCCCACTTCAGTACGATTCTCACAGTCATATCCTGGGATACCAGATAGCCTCTGCACAAGGACAGATGTGAGAAAGAGTCCCTACATCCACAGAGAGAAACCATCAGAGGCACTCTTTAGTGTGTGGTTTTACAGATCAGGCAAGTGGTGACTGTGGCTTCAGAAAGGGAAAAAAAGACTTAATTAGCCTTCACTCCCAGCAGACTGCCAACCTAAGAATAGGGGATAGATTAACAACGAGAACTGAACACTTTTAATCAACTCTCAAAGCCTCTTTTTCCTTGTGCCCACCCCCACCTTAATGTCAACAATCTACAAACACATAATTGCAAAGAGTAGAGGAAATGGATGTTTCATAGGTGATGAGGTTTTATACATTTTAAAATACAAAGGTGTGAAGTGACAATTCACAGTCTCAGAATAAACTGCTGGAAAATGGGCATTAATCAAATGGGGAGTAATTGAAGGAGCAAATGGTAGATGGAAAAAACAGAAAAGAAGTGCACTTTTATTGAAATGCATGAAGGTCTGGTTTGAACAATGATTTCAAAAAGAACAATGTAAACACATATTTTAAGGCACAAAACCCTTGGGACATTTATATGAAACCATACTCTACAAATCATTACCAGAATCAACAGAAACAGTACTTTGTATTTTTTATTTGCCCCAGATTTAGGAAACATTTGTCCAGAATCTGTGACACAGGTATGCTAACAGGCTTTAAGCACCGCTGGTTTTCATACAACAAGGTGTGGGAAACGAAGGAACTGCTCATCCCATTCCTCAAGGTAAAGATGAAGGTCACACCCAACAAATCCATCCAAAAACAGATTTCAAGAAAGATGCAATAGCAATATGTTTACAGCTATCGTGTAAAAACTATTTAGGACCTATTTCAGATTTTCTAGGTATTTTCAGAACTCATAATGCTATAGCATGCTTCTAAAAAGTACAGTACATCTGAACATGTTTGGACCTGTGCCTTGTATTTTCATCTTTACATATAATCTTCCATTTAAATCAGTAAAACATGAAGTGGGTTTTTTGTGTTTATTACTTTAAATAAGACTTCTGGCCTGTGCTCTGTGTTGCTATAGGATATATTTATATACCATAAAGCTCAATAGAAAGTCTGCATAAAAAACAACTGACATGGACATCTTGACACCAATCATTGTCCTGTTTTAAGGCCTGTAATTCACCATTATGGCTACTAGAGTTTGTTATTTTTTGGAGCCAAAAATGACAATATTTGGGTGCAAGACTAGAGTGTTAAGTTGACATTCAAATCCATAGATTATGGATATCGATAAATTAATAAACTACTAGATTTTACTCACCAAAAGTGAAATACATACATTCTCTGCCACAGACCAGGCTGTGAAATGTGTCAGATAAATGCATTCAAATACTCAAAACAGCACCGACACCACAAATATGGTCAGAATCTAGTTTAGTGGCTCCATTTAGCTAAACAATTTTAGCTGAGGCCTGCAGTTTTTGTCACTTCGCTGGATTTATTTTTCTGCCCTTGAGACCCATGCTTTGTTTTGCCTCCTGAACAAAAGGGTTTAGCCTCCCAACAGGAAAATATGTAGAAAGTGTACGGTTAAAACTAAAGTGCACAGAAAAGTTTTTGGTCACAACTTGTCTTCATCACTTGGCAACTGGCCACAACTGTACAGTAAGGTATTCAGATAACAGTGGAATGGGTCATGTTGTGGCAGTATGTACAGTAACACTGGTTAGAGTTCAGAAAGACCGGAGCAGACACAGAGGCTCCGGAGGCAGATCAAACATATCTGGGATTCTGTTTGTTCAGATCTCCAAAAGCAATATGGAAACAGTATGACCGAAAGAAAGTACAAATACACAGTCAATGTTTCAATTTTGAAATACTCGCCTTAATCTTTTCCATGTCCTACATGCATGTATCATTATTAGCAACATTTCTGCTATCTTTCTATCTGCATATCATCTTAGAGCACAAGACTTAAGTTTATCTGAAGAATAAGATCTCGTTTTTAGCCAGTGCTTCCTTAATTGGCTCTAACTCTCCGTTTCCCCGTGGACATTCTCCATATGGACTTTGAGGTAGTCGTTCCTGGTGAACTTCTTGTGGCACAGCTGGCACTCTGCCATCGGTCGGTTGGGGTTGTGCGTCAGCTTGTGCCTGCTGAGCATCTTCTTCAAGCTGAATGAAAGGTCGCAGACCTACAGAAAACAACAAATAGAGGATTATAGGAGTCATAATTACAGTATTTAAACACACTTTAAACATCTGTTCACTGTAGAGCCTCTGCA